TCTCCTGTCATTTACTCTCAGCTTCAAGCAGTTATTTTAAGAAGAGTGCCCTTTGTATGTACAGAGCAACCAAGCAACAGACATGAATATGAATGCACAGTCCACTGGCAATTGCTTCTGCACAGTTATACTCTCATTGCAACTAAAACAAAGTGCTGAATAAATTTTGTGTAATTTACAAGAATATGAAAGACAACTTGAATCCTGTCATTTACTAACAAAAAGGTGAATAAACATTTTTTCAGGACTTTGTTACTGTACATTAATAGAAATTACTTCTCTGTTAAACTAGTAACTTTTAAAGTTTATGGAATCCATGTTGTTTCACTCAAACCTCTTGGGTCATTCACAGCTTGTTCTATGTATCAAAGGAGCCAGGAACAAAGTAGTATCCAGTTATGAAGACTGAACGGATATAAAAAATATTTAAATGAATGCCTCCCCTTACAGGAACCTGCCATGCCTGTAAGACTGAGCATTGAGACTCTGCTCAAGAATCTTTCAATAAGGTCTGTCAGGTTGGCAGGCATAAAAGGCAGGGCCTTTTCAATGATGGCTCCATCTATTGAATGCCCTTCCTTGAGAGATAAATTTTTCTTCTCTGTATTCAAACAGGACTTAAAAGCCTGAATGTTTCTGTCTACCGTTTAATTGCCTATTCATGCTAGTCTAAATTTAATGTAATCTGCAGTTTAGCTGCTGCCACTATACTGTATTTTTATTTATTTATTTATCTTGCAATGAAGTGAAAAGTTTATGCCATTTTAGAAAGCAGTCATCAGTGGAATGGAGGATAAATCCCTGCCGGCTTGTAGTAACCAGAATCTAGGGACTGGGAGGAGATTTTCCCCCCTAGAATTTTAGCTGGTAGCCTGTTGTCATCACTCAGTGCCAGCATCTACAGCAAATCTGTCAAAAAAAAAGTGTCACCCTTGAGGAAGTAAGGTGCACTGCTTATATATCACCCTGTAGCACTTAAAGCACTTTCTGGGCAGCTTGCAATTTAATTATGCAGACTACATATTACACATACACGGTGAACTGGGTGCTCATTTTACCAACCTTGGAAGGTTGAAAGGCTGAGTAAACCTCAAGCCAGCTAGCTGAGCCCTTTGGAGTTAAAGTCAGGTTGTGAGCAGAGTCTTTACTGCAGGACTACAGTTTAACCACTGCACAAAGAGGAAAGGAAAGGTTTGTTTAGACTGGACAAAGTGAGGTTACTCCCAAACTATCTCTCTGTTCTGAAATATTTGTGTGCTTCTACATGAATAATGAAGATTGTATCAAGATATTAGGGATCATTTGAATCTGTCTCCCTTGGACTCAATGGTGAAAACTATACTAACAATACAGCTTGAGGTACTAAGAGATGCAGCCTGCAAATTTTGACTAGAACAAGCTCCTTTCAACTCTGTAACTTTTTTTAAATAAATGATGGTGGTCTCCATCATTCCAGGTAGTCTCTTTTGGCTTAGAATGATAGATACTATATGCATTGTGGGCTGATGAATATTTGGAAAACACACATTTTTTGTAGCGCCCCATAGGACGATCTTCCTAGGTCCTTTAATGTTGCAATCAGCTGATAAAGAGAGATGACTGTGAACAGACCACTACAATCACATCATCAATACATCACATAGAAGAGTGTTCCTGAAGTGACCTACTTTTCCTGTTTTCTGTTCAGAAGGCTAATCCTATTTAGCATTGCTGGGAGGGAATAGGCACACCAAAGAGTGCTTTTGAAGTTGTGCAGATGGCCTCCTTCATTGATAAATATTTGTTTAAATTGTTTGGTCTTCTCATTTCTGCAAAGTGTGCTCAAGAGGACATGGTTTAACTTGGGAAGCCAAGGTGGCCCATTTTGCACGAGTTTTCATGTGTAGGGAATATCTGTTCATCAATATTTTCATTGCAACTTCAGTTTTACAACAGTTTACCAAACTGTGGGCAGACTAGGTAAAAAAAAATAAATGGACAGATATTTGACAAATAATAACAAAACACACACACACACACACACACACCCTTTAAATGGACTGATATTTGACAAATAATAACAAAAAAGATAAAATCTAATCCCAAACAGCAAAAGGGTGTGTGTGTGTGTGTCTGTGTCTGTGTGTGTGTGTTGCCCTACATACGCTATGGTGGAGTCTATGTATTGGATCTTCAATCTTTCTTAACCCGCAAGGGCAGGTACATTCAGAGCAATTCCTCTTCCCAAACTTCCACCTAGGATAGCATAAGGCATAATGTTTATCTGAACTTTAATGAAGGCCACCCTTTTCTCCCATTTCTGTACTTGTTTTAGTTAGCAAGAATGGGAGGGTGATCTGCTTCCAATATCTGTCACCCTGTTGAGTAGGCAAAATGTACCTCCCTACCCCACCCCCACTCCAGCCAGCATTCAACATTCCCATCCAATGGTTCTGCTGCCTGGGGTTGCAGAAACAGGGGATAGAAACGGAGTCCACCAATATTTGGACACCACCTTTTGCCCCCTACCCCCACTGTAGAATGTTAAAAATGTAACTGATGTAGGCAACATGTTTGAACAGATTATTATAGGTTGCAGAAACAAGGGATAGAAACAGAGTCCACCAATATTTGGACAGCCACCTTTTGCCCCCTACCTCCATTGTAGAATGTTAAAAATGTAACTGGTGTAGGCAACATGTTTGAACAGATTATTATGAATGGACAAGAGAGAACGAAACATTCTGAACATATTTTAAGAAACTTCAAATAGATTATGACATAGTGGGAGGAAACAGGAAATTAATTCCTCAGCCTTGATTCAATGAGGGTAAGTGATGCTGTAGTATCAGAAGGTGCTGACAAAGAGCTCTCATCCATATCTATTACAATTATCATTGCAACATCATAGAACTCTAATGTTACTGTACACCTTGCTTTGTGACTTTTGTCTATCATGCTTTCAGTATCTGCTGAATCCTAATACCTTTGCATCTCTTGTACGTCTATCCATCCAAGACCTTACTTTGTTATGTTACAGCTACATATCGTGGCTTTTGCAAGCCCTTATTCAAATTCCTCCTTAACTCTAGTGTTAGGATTGAGAATGAGTAATGACCTATATCTAGCATTTATCTCCTTCTTGTTTGAAAACTCAGCTTTAATCATGCTTTGTGACTCCTATTGCTTCTAAACCCAACACTACAATGATGTCACAGACCAGTACCCTGCAGAAATAGGAAGTTTGTTGTTTTAAAAGACAGCTAAGAACACACACACAAACTGTTAGTACCAGACAAATGTCACAAGCAAGTGAAAGTGAGAAAGGAAAAGGATAAAGTTGTAAACAACACTGTTGAGAAAATCTAAAAGCCATAAAAGCCTAATATTTTCATTAGGACCACCTGAAGTAGGGAAGTTTAAGAAAAAGGGTTTTTTTTTTTAGTTATAGAATCATAGAACAGTGAAGTTGGAGAATGATTGTTAGACTTCGTAAACAACACCGTTGAGAAAATCTAAAAGCCATAATAAGGCAATATTTTCATTAGGACCACCTGAAGTATGGAAGTTTAAGAAAAAGGGTTTTTTTAATTATAGAATCATAGAATCATAGAACAGTGAAGTTGGAAGGGGCCTATGACAGTCCAACTCCCTGCCTGATGCAGGAATACAAATCAAAGGATATCTGCCAGGTGGTTGTCTAACTTTCCCTTAAATGTTGGAGCCCTCACCACCACTTGAGGTAATTGGTTCCACTGTCTTACTGCTCTAACGGTTAATATGTTTTCCCTGATATTCAACCAAAATCTGCCTTCCTATAACTTGAGCCCATTGTTGCATGTCCTACAGTCTGGTATGATTGAGAAGAAATCCTGCCCCTCCTCTGTATGACAGCCTTTTGAGTATTTGAAAAGTGTTATCATATCAAGAGAACATTTATTTAAATTTAATATTATGCAGAGTTCTGGATAGCTGAAATTCTTGTGCGTTACTCAAAACAAATGCATTTACCTTAAGTGGCTTTTAAAGAGATAAAATTTGCTGCTGGAATGCCTAGCTTCCCATTAGCAATCTGCTAAGCATTTAACTCTGGGGAGAAATATTACTGTTATTATAATTATCAATCTCCATTGGAATATACTGTGCTTACTAAGAATGAAGAATACTAGCTTTTGTGTTCCTGGCTCAATTGGTTTTAAAGAGAAAACCAACTAACCCCATAGCACAGTTTTGCTCACTCTTCGAAAAACACCAGTCTGCTTTTTTTTTCCTAGTGTGTCACTGCTTTGCCTGCCATACTGCAATACTTTGTTAACATCACAACAAGCCAGAATCTTCCGACATCTCATTGTGAATGATCTAGGAGACTGATCTCGCTCAGGGCCACATGTGGGGTTAGTTCTGCTATGTTACAAGCTGTCTTTGTGCTCAGGCCCCTTGGGAAGAAGCCAGCTGCTTTTTTTTTTGTTTTGGCCTCTTGCCCCTGCTACTTTTCCTGTTTGTATGAAGAGTGGGTCAATGATGGAATATGGTAGTGTCAGCTCTAGGCCAGACAAGTTTGTAGAAATTGGTATTGTGAGGATGCAGACAAATATCTTGACCAAGGTATCTCTCAAAAACAAGAAAGGTCTTAGAGTACAGTACATAAGCAAAGAAAACAGACCAAGGTCACTTGCAGGATTTCAAAGTATATACAGGACCCTTCAAAAGGACTCTGTTGAGCAGGACCTCTCCAGCAGGAGACATGATACTGTTAGATGTTTCAGGATTCCTGTGGGGAGCATAAGCTTACTCTACAAAAAAGGAGGAAATGGTGGAGCATAACTGTGGCTCACTTGTACTATAAACTGGCCCAAACAAGCAAATTTACGGGATTGAATGATGATTCATAGACTCGCAGGCTTAAAATAAATTTAGGTGTCATGATGAATTATGTTAAAGCAAGAATGATTCTGCCTGAAATCTAACTGTAGAAATGCAGTGGAATTATGTTTTACAGCTACCTTGAATTCTTTCAACAGAAAAAGCTGCTTAGACAATCTAATGGACGAAGATGAAAAAGACAGGGCAAAGAGGTAAGCATCTAGCTTCTTAAGAACTTAAGTGTTCTGCTTAACAAAATGATTCCTCTGCCTTATTTGTGCAATCAAAATAGAGAAGGAAAAAGAAGAAGCCATCTTGTGTCCTTTTAAGGAGAAAGGTGGGGTAAAATATTTTAAATAAATAAATGAAATAAGAACAAAAATGACCTGTGCAGTTTGAATAACAGCTGAGTCTTAAGCACTATTCTGTGGCATTCTTTTTTTAACGATGGAGGTGGCATCTATAGCCCATGCTGTATCAGAGAATGGTCTCCAGGAACAACGTTGGTCTGTGCATATAAATCCCTGGATTGCAGATATACATTAATGCTTTGCAGGAGAGAATAGCAGGAAGAATGGTAATATGGCTGCCAAATCATTATAAGGCAATACTGTTCTTCAATCTACGTAAATGCTGGACTATGGTGGCTAAACTACCTGACTTCATAGCATTTTTCCATTAAAGAAAGAAAGAAAGAAAGAAATATTTTCCGTTTCCTAAAGAAAGAAAGAAAGAAAGAAAGAAAGAAAGAAAGAAAGAAAGAAAGAAAGAAAGAAAGAAAGAAAGAAAGAAAGAAAGAAAGAAAGAAAGAAAGAAAGATGGAGAGCAGCACTCATCACTTGAGGGAAAGAACTCTTGCCTCATGCCAGCTCTTAGCATTTGATTCTGATGTGAAAAACAACCTTCTCACACAGAAATAATCATAAATGACTGCAATTTTTGGTATCTATTAATAGTTTCCTGTTGTTCCTAGGGCTTCACGTAACAAGTCTGAAAAGAAGAGGCGTGACCAGTTTAACATTCTCATCAAGGAACTCAGCTCGATGCTTCCAGGAAACACTCGGAAAATGGACAAAACAACAGTTCTGGAGAAAGTGATTAGCTTTCTTCAGAAACACAATGGTAACAAAATATAACGACCACTCCTGCTATTCATATACCATCAGCTTACGTATTTTTTCTCTGGGTAGTTAATGGTCAGTCTTGCTCAAGTAATTTTTTTCATGGTGACAGAAACAAGCTTGTTCTGTAATGTAGTAGCTTTTTAAAAGATTTGTCTCCAGCAGCTTGGAGATGCTGCCAACTATGGGGGCAACAAATTGCAGTATATAGACTCCTGTGAAATCTGTAAGATCTGCTGTCATTCTTACTGTATCTAGATAAGAAAGGACTGCCCTGGGTGACTACTCTGGTGAATGAACATAATGAGAGTAGCAGTGTTGCTTGGATGACAGCATACTGAACTAGTTGTGATTAAGATTTGTGCCCAACAAGAATAATGAAAGATGTCTATAGGAACAGAATGGTAGTCTTGATCAAGCTGAACTGAAGTTTGATTCAGATTTAGTCTTACTTAGGGTGCAACTCCACAACAAGGCAAATGCAAATTTACTTGTATTCATTTGCTGTGAAATCACAGTGGAGAACTCAGGTTTCCCCAGGTCTCTGCATTAACTAACCACACAGAGACAAAGAGAAAGCCTTGTTTGCAACTTGTTTGCACCTCTGTTTATACCTCAGCAGGTGGCACTGTTAGAAGGGAACTGTCTAATAAGTTATAAACACAGCTTCCTCATCTCATTTGGTGAGAGCTGTTAAAAAAAGAGAGAGAGGCTTTGCTCACCCATGGTGTTTAAAAGGGGGGGAGCAGAAAAATCTTGCCAATGAGCTTTGCTGCCATTCCCTGAATGTATTCTAGCTCTCTCCCCTTTGTTAAAAAGGGAGAGAGAGGCTTTGCTGACCCTTAACTGTGTGTTTTTTTAATGAAAAATCTTGCCAATGGGCTTTGCTCATAATTCCTGAGTTTGTGCTGATGCATAAGAAACATAAGAACAACCCTGCTGGATCAGGCCCATCTAGTCGACTCCCTGTATCTCACAGTGGCCCCACCAGATTCTTCTGGGAGCACATGAGACAATTAGATACCTTTATCCTGATATCCATCTCCTGCATCTGGCATTTTGAGGTACCTTCCTTATAAGCCTGGACATTGTAAATCCCCATCATGACTTGTAACCTGAGATGGACTTTTCCTCCAGAAATCTGTCCAATCCTCTTTTAAAGGCATCTAGGCCAGAAGCCATCACCACATCCTGTGGCAAAGAGTTCCACATACTAACATCACACTGGGTAAAGAAATATTTTCTTTGGTCTGTTCTCACTCTCCCAACACTCAATTTGACTGGATGTCCCCTGGTTCTAGTATTGTGTGAGAGGGAAAAGAGCTTCCCTCTATCCACTTTATCCATCCCCTGTGCAATTTTATGTCTCAATCATGTCCCCCCTTCAGGTGCCTTTTCTCTAAAGAGCCCCAAATGCTATAGCCTTTCCTCATATGGGAGGTGCCCCTCCCAGTCATCATTTTAGTTGCTCTCTTCTGCACCTTTTCCAGTTCCACTATGTCTTTTTTGAGGTTTTTCTGCATTGGTTCCAGCAATCACGCATCTGAACCGATGTGAGTGGATAAAAATAATAATAAATAGAAGCCACAATGGCAGAGGGGGAAAACTATGGCTTTGGGAAGGTGACTCTGAGCTGATTCACATTTTCCTTTGCATCATGTACACAGTGGGGGGGGGGGAGTGCAAATCAGTTTACTCAAAACCGGCACTATTTCCAGCATGTTCTTCTAGTATAGTTGCACTGTCAGAGAGGTTTCTCTAAATCCACTGTGGCTTAGTGTAGTCACAATTAACTACACCAGATTCTATTGATTGTAATGAGTTTGTACTAACTGTAGATCCAACATTTTATCATCAGGGGTGTTCTTTTTTTTTTGGCACATTGTATGTTCTTATTCATCTGTTGGGATGATTGTTGAGCAGATCTGCAATGTTAAAAATAGTAAGATATAGTAGGAAGAGGAGGAGGAGGATTATGCTATTTTAAAATATTTGTTCAGTTCATTGAACACATTTTAACAAAATTTCCATTTACTAGGTACAATTCACAGAGCTGCTGTTACATAGGACGAATAATTGTCTGTTTTTTTTATGTTATCATAAATGATTAAATATTTTCTATTTCATTCCCACATCTTGTCCGATTCAGATGTAATCAGTCTTATTGCATGTGATACATGGGAGCCCTGGGACGAAGGAGGAACTTTTAAATTACAGAACTAAAGGTTATACATTCATCTCACAGGGGAGGTTGTTGGTGATTCAGCTGTTCCTCCAGTTGTCTTTCTGCTCTGACTACTTACACAAAATAAGATTGATTACATGTTAGTTGGACAAGCCACAGAACAGAATTAGGAATACTGTCATTACTTAAAACCATTTGGCCAAATAAAGCTTGCAGTAGTGATGTTACTACCCCTCTTCAGAAAGAAGTTATGCAACAAGATTTTGGCCAATGACTTTTAAAATCAAAGTTTAATTTTTTTTATGAATTAGGGATAACAACTTAGTTTATTATTAATTATTTTGAAACTCTGTGCAGAAGAGAATAAGGGTCTCTCTGATCTGTTAAATGCAAGCAAAGTAAAAAGAGTGATATATGAATTTCGTCTTAACATTGCACATGGTGGAAGTTCACAGACAGTTCTTTTATTTTTCAGGAGATGAAAAAGGTTACAAATTAATCATTGTCTCACTTCTGTATTGTTCAACTCAAAAAACTGTCAAGCCATATAGAACTCCTACAGAAGTCATATTCTGCTTATCAGAGGGGGGAACCCTACAATTTTTTCTCATCTGAGTTGTACATCACTTAACAGTAGAGGTACTGTATAACATTATATCTGTACCTGTTTAGAATTCTCAGCGCAGGCAGAAATCTGTGATACTCAGCAGGAGTGGAAACCTTCCTTTCTCAGCAATGAAGAATTTACCCAGTTGATGTTGGAGGTGAGAAATGCTGTTTTTTACAACAGTGTGAATGTGTGGTTTCCTCCGAAGTAAAACTGTGGCTGGGGGCGGCAAGCTAGATAATTTTAATGGAGAAAATTTCGAGCTCCATTAATTTTTTATAGGATATAAAACCACTGGTCTTTTCCATGTAATAATCTTGATCCATTCATCATGCCCAGTACATAAAATGAAGAATTGGAACACAGTCAGGAAGCAAACACAGATTGTCAGGATTACAAAGTTATGCTTGAAATGCTTAAAAATTCAGGTGGGAACTTATCATAAAACAGATGTACAACTCAAAGCGTTAATAGTTTAATGACAACAATGGAACTCCTAAACTTGGAAAAATGTGCTTAATTCTTATTGATCTAAAATGTGCTTCATATTTTAATCCAAAGTTGCATTGAAATGTTGCAAAATTGTTAATGTATCATCAAGATAACCTTTCTGAGTACATTTCCAAAGTACCTACACATTAGACTGGGTAATTATAATCACTGTTCTAACAATAAATAGTTGTCATGTTTTAATATCTAAATGTTGAATGATGTCTTGTTAAATGTACAGTAGGCGTTTAGAGTATGTTCCTTTGTATTACCTGCCATTAATAGCATGCTTATTCTGTAACTGTTTAATTGCCTTTCTAGAAATTATTTAGTTTGACTGTTTTTCAGTTGTATCCTACTTTGTTATTTTAGGAGCCTTCAGAAAGTGTTCAACTTTTGTTGTGTGGGTGTAGTGCAGAGTAGAAGCAAACTGATAAAACTTAATTTTCCATTCTGGTGTTACGTGTGTTTTGATAAAACTGAGGTAAATTGAATTGCCTTTAATTTAAAATTAGGTGGCATACTTTATTTGCCAGTAATTATTTTTAGTTGTCAACTGCCCCCCCCCCCAGGAGCTATGTTTCCTCTATGCTTACAGCTTCATGATGCCGGCTTATTTCCTGTTGCTCAGCATAGTAAGTTGCACTAGAGTAGGTCCACTAAATCAGTAGAGTATGTCAGCAATCCCCCTAAAGGGTATTCCACTAGGTGAAGGAGCCACTCTAGTTCCTGTTTTCCACCACCCTTTGAACTCAGGCTGGGTAAAAACCCGGAGGGTGTGTGAATTACATAGCAACTATGGGCCAACTTCTCACCTAGATTTTCACCTGTCTCCCTTACCTGAGATAGAAATTCTCCTGATTGCGTACTTTGTACCTAGTGCACCCTGCAGTCTCTAGATGGGAGCAGTGGTGGTGACAACCACAGCAACTTCTTCAGCTAAATCTCTTGCTACCACCATGCTTTCTCAACTGTGGCTGCATAGCTAGCTAAAAGAAGGGATGTTTGGGATTCAGCAGCAGGCGGAGGAAAGAAGGACCTACCAGAAGGGGGATCACAATGGATAGAAGGAGGGATGTCCTTGAGCAAACGTGAAGCTAACCAAAATGAAACGAAATATTCATGCCTTCAAAAGAGGGCAAAATAGCTTGCAAAGGCATGGGCTTGGACTAAGAGGAGCTTTTCATCATGTAGATGGCAAGTAAAACACTGATTTCAGTAATAACTGGTAAGATACCATTTGGGGAACAAATAACTCTTGTCTGAAGAGCCACCAGCAGCAAGGCTGAAACAATAGTCCTGTGTAATCTTGTTCTGATTTGAATGGAAGACTATTTCTAAAACTCAAGATTCCACATTTCATGTAATTAGAAACTTTTTTTTCTAAGCTATAGTTGAGTAATCAATCACACTCATATTTCACTTGTTCTGTTTCCATCAGGCATTAGATGGGTTTGTTATAGCTGTTACTACAGATGGAAGCATTGTGTATGTTTCTGACAGTATTACCCCTCTTCTTGGACATTTACCAGTGAGTAGTTCTTCTGCATTCATTTTGCAGTATAGATATGCTCTGCTTATTGCTGTCCATGAGGATCTCTAGATATGGTCACAGGCTTTAAGGCAGTTTTTCACATAGTGGAGTCATCCAAATCTGTAAGAACTTTGCTGGGAAATGATAAGTACCAAAGAAGCGGATGCTTTTGGCAGATGCTAAAAACAAGAAAAGGGGCTTCTGTGGTTATAAGACTAGAAAAAGGACAAAGAACGTGTAGGCTAGGAATGTGCCATTGGGACTGCAAATAAATGTTGGCCCTCCAAATGTTGGCTGACTTCTAATCCCTCAGTCCTAGCGACTATGGCAAGTAATTAGGGATCATGGGAATTATGCTCTAACCATATAGGGAGGACCACAGCTTCCTGTATCTGCCTGAGTTAACTTTCTATCAATATTTCAAAATTAATGAGCCCTAGAGATGGGCACATGCCGTTGTACAGTGTGGTTCGGTGGATCAGGCCCACAGGTGTTGTGCAGTCACCCTGGATTCCACACAATACCTCCTCCCCCGGTCACCCACTTAGAAGATGAGGTGGGGCACCTGCGGGAGGAGGCAGGGCGTACAACCTATAAGTGCCCTTGTCTAGTGAACACATGTATGTAAAACTACAAATCTGCATACACATGTCCACACTGAAAATTAAGCATTGTTTTAGCTTGAAAGTTTTTTCTTAAAAATTGCAGTGTGATTGGTTTATTTTTAAAGATATGGGAATGACTGTTCTTTTGTCTTTTCATCATGAACAATGTTTTTTTTTTCATTTACAGTCTGATGTTATGGACCAGAATTTGTTAGATTTCCTTCCAGAACAAGAACACTCAGATATTTATAAAATCTTATCATCTCATATGCTTCTGATGGATACTGTGTCATCAGATTACTTAAAATGTGAGTGTTACTATCTGTTTTTTTAGAAACCACTTTTGATTTGATAAATACAAAACTTTATAGAACAATGAAATTCTGAACAAACGTGGAAGCCAGAGCCCAGGAACAATCAGCCACACACAAGGACATCTGTGACAGCAAGAGAATGGAGCTTCTGTATGTTATTTTACTGTGTTCACTGAACAAAAGAAAAAAGAACATGGAAAGCTCAGATTTTTTTTCTCTTGTCTGCACAGGGTATCTTTATAAATGTTTTGCCTGTAAGTATGTCACATATTTTTTTTCACATTGAAGGAAGTTTCATGTACAGTGGTACCTCGCAAGACGGGCACTCCGTTTAATGACGAATCTGCATTACGACGAGGTTTTTGCGATCACAAAAGCAATCGCAAAATGGTGTTTTGAATGGGGGAATTTCGCTGCGCGATGATTGGTTCCCTGTTTCGGGGTTTCAAAATGGCTGCCGGGTGCTCAAAATGGCTCCCCGCTGTGTTTAGGAGCCATTTTTCGCTACACAGGCCCCCGAAAATGGCCACCCCTATGGAGGATCTTTGCTGGACGGTGAGTTCTTAGCCGATTGGAACGCATTAACCAGGTTTTAATGCATCTCAATGGCTTTTTTATTTTCTCTGGAACGAATTAATGTCGTAATGTGAGGCACCACTGTATTATTTTTCACTTTCAGGGTAATGGAAATCAGTCCATATGGAACATTTTGTTGCCTACAGTTTTAAAATTATATCAAAAACATTCTACATTAAAATGGATCTGTTTGCATCTTCATTAACAATGCATTCTTGCAGCCTGAAAAATTAGTGAGAGTTCATATTACAGTTGAAGATTACATACATTTTTGTAAAGAGAATTGACCGCAAATTATATTTCACTCCTTTCCAGAGTGCAGGTCTCGATACTCTGAGGAAGCACAAGTTTATTGTGATTTTTTTAAAGAATTAATTTTCTGATCACCAAACAGCTACATTATAGGGCAGGTATGGAAAAGAGAAGAGGGATTAGCATTTAATAGCTGGATTACATTTTAAAATGTATTCTATAAATGAGCATTTTAAATAAAGAATAGTTTATTTTTTTTAAAAATGAAAAGAACTGACAAAAGGTGGGAAATGTGAGGTTGACTTGTGCATTTCATTGCTTTTCGTTTTATATTTATCTTAACCATGTGTGATTTATTTCATGGAATGATAGTGGATAGTTGGACAAAAACTAAACTCAATTCTTAGCTTTAAGTATGCATGAGGAGTACCTATTTATAGGTCTCAGCAGCCTAGTTTCATGCAAAATTTCAACCAGCAAGATATGGCTCTTTATGGCAACACTGAACCGACAGAGTTCTTCTGTTTGTTTTAATATGATTTCCGTTTATTTAAATTCCAAAAAATATTTAGTTCTATATTTGTTAAAATTCCAGCTGATGATGACTTGGAATTTTACTGTCATCTTCTGAGAGGAAGTTTGAATCCCAAAGACATTCCAACATATGAATACATAAAATTTGTCGGGAACTTTCTGTCTTACAGTCATGGTAAGTAGAAGCCATTAAACTAATGCAACTAGTGAGTGAGTGCACGAGAACTGTTATTACTCTAAGAAGGCAGGTCTGTATAAAATAGAGATGGGGGTATTTGTATAAAAATATGAATATCCCCCCACAGATGGAGATAACAAGTGTCTGGCCCCATGGGGCCGGATGGTCCACTCATGATTATGCCACCGCCGCGAAGCCTTTCAATGGCTCTGGAGATTTTGCTTGGCGAGCCACTCTTCGACCTAGCAGAGAGGCTTGTCATCCTGCCTCCTTCCAGGAGTGGCGATCCAATCGCATTCTCCAGAGCCATTGGAAGGCTCTGTGGCAGTCGCGGCAGTGGCGGACTCATGAGTGGACCATGGGGCCAGATCCTTGTTCTCTCCACCTGTGGGGGGATATTCGTGTTCATATACGAATTCCCCCATCTCTAATATAGCATTTGGATGGAATTGTGGAGACATTTAACACAACAGTCTCAAACAAAATAACAATAAGCAATTACTTTGTAGATATCCAGTGTGGTATAGTGGGTACAGCAATGGATTAGGGCTGAGGAGACATGGGTCTAAATTTCTGCTCAGCTGTGGAAACCTCCTGAGGGGTGGCACTGATAAAGCCACTTGTTAAGTATCTCTAAAGTATAATCTCTTTTTTAAGATTATTACAAATCTGACCTGATAGCACATAAAACACACAATCATGCATGAACACATGCATGCACGTGTGTGTGTGTGTGTGCGCGCACAGACACACACACACACACACAGAGTTGACTGAAATACTAAGCATATTAACCAGGGAATAAGTCCCACTGAACTTAGTGGGGCTTATTTTTGAATAAATCTAGTTACAGCTAGATTATGAGGCTACAGTTTAAAGCACCCTGAGAACATTTCAAAACATTCTTTTGCAGGGTTTTGGGGGTTTTTTAAAATATGTGTGCGAGAGGGTGTGTGTCTTTATGCACAGTACTAAGTTTGGAAAAATTACTTTCCTGAGCCAGCACAACCCCTTCTTCAATCCAGAATTCTATAGTTTGGGGGGGGGGGTTGTAGTCTACCAGATTTTTTCAGATCTGGGAAAATCAATTTATTGTAGTTATATAATATTATATTATTATGTAGAAATAGCATTTTGGCCCTATGAAAATGCAGCTGTTCCTGCAGTAAGTATGTTAGTTGCTGCTGTAATTGTGTGGAATGTGGTCCTGACCCAACCAGATAGGCGGGATATAAATAAAATAAATAAAATAAATAAAATGTGATTTACGCAACTGCCACAGGCATTGATTTCCTGTCTTACAATTAGTGATGAGTAGTGCCACTTCCTTGTGCTGTACCCTGGACCATTTTTATTGTTCTTAATTTTTTTTTATTCTTTGGTTGCTGCATTGTTATGTTACGCACAGGGACAGGCATCCAAATTTCTTTTCAAATAGTAGATAGCAGAAAAGCTACATCCATGGCAATGCCTAATCATTTAATAGTCTTTAGTTTTAAGGTTTTCTTTTCAGATTTTTCTGGAAATGCTTTACTTTCTTTTGAGCTGCAGTGCACAGGCTGTTGTAATCATGCTGGTGTGCTTAAAAAGCAATCAGCCAATACTAGCACATCTTATAAAAGAAATATTCTTTTGGGACAAGAATATATAATGAAAAAAATATTGGGCAGAGATGGGAAAACTGTGACCTTCCAGATGTTAGTAGTATATAACCCCCATCTGTTTTAGTGAGCGTGGCCAGTGTTCATGGGTGCTGGAAGATGGAGGACAATAATGTCCTAAAGCATCTCCAGCAGGTCAGTGGCCTGCCCTTCACATACATGTGCCTTACATTGACAGAGGGTGCAACATGGAACACAGTGTGTTCTTGAAACTGCAGACTGGGTAGTAATACTGATGGTTGAAATTAAGGTATCTTTCAGAAAAGAGTGCTTGTTACTGAGTGTCTCACTGGAGAACCACTGAAAAGCCTCCTAAGGAAACCTGGGGTTCCCTGAAACAGAGTTATAAACCCACTACAGTATAGAACACCATTTATGTAAGTAGGTTTGATTTAGCTGAAACTTGAATCCAGAAAAAATTTAAGCCTACAAGACTGATTCAATACAACTAATCTGTTCTGAATGCTTCCATTGTTGTACAGCCGGAGTAAATGGAATTTACTGTATTTTTGAAGTTTTTACAGTTATCATCTTGAAGGCCATTTGGAGCAGATCAAATTTTTAGTTATTTCTCTATCTTGTTGTTCAGTCGTTAAGTTGTGTCCGACTCTTCATGACCCCATGGACCAGAGCACGCCAGGCCCTTCGGTCTTTCACTGCCTCCTGGAGTTTGGTCAAATTCATGTTGGTAGCTTCAATGAGACTGTCCAACCATCTTGTCCTCTGCCGTCCCCTTCTCCTCTTGCCGTCACACTTTCCTAACATCAAGGTCTTTTCCAAGGAGTCTTCTCTTCTCATGAGATGGCCAAAGTACTGGAGCCTCAGCTTCAGGATCTGTCCTTCCAGTGTTGATTTCCTTTAGAATGGATAGGTTTGTTCTCCTTGCAGTCCAGGGGACTCTCAAGGGCCTCCCCCAGCACCACAATTCAAAGGCATCAATTCTTCGGCGGTCTGCTTTCTTTATGGTCCAGCTCTCACTTCCATACATCGCTACTGGAAAAACCATAACTTTGACTATGCGGACCTTTGTCGGCAAGGTGATGTCTCTGCTTTTTAAGATGCTGTCTAGGTTTGTCTAGGTTTCCTCCCAAGAAGCAGGCGTCTTAATTTTGGGGCTGTTGTCTCCATCTGCAGTGATCATGGAGCTCAGGAAAGTAAAATCTGTCACTGCCTCCATATCTTCCCCTTCTATTTGCCAGGAGGTGATGGGACTAGTGGCCATGATCTTAGTTTTTTTAATGTTGAGCTTCAGACCATTTTTTGCACTCTCCTCTTTCACCCTCATTACAAGGTTCTTTAGTTCCTCCTTGATTTCTGCCATCAGAGTGGTATCATCTGCATATCTGAGGTTGTTGATATTTCTTCCAGCAATCTTAATTCCGGTTTGGGATTCCTCCAGTCCAGCCTTCCGCATGATGTATTCTGCATATAAGTTAAATAAGCAGGGAGACAATATACAGCCTTGTCGTACTCCTTTCCCAATGTTGAACCAATCAGTTGTTCCATATCCAGTTCTAACTGTTGCTTACTGTCCCACATATAGATTTCTCAGGAGATTTTTCTGTCTTGGTGACATGTAATTGAGAACACACCACTATTATTTATTTCATTTCTAGGCTGCCTTTCTCCTGGTGAGGGGACCCAAGGTGGATATGGGTCTAAATCTTGCCATTGGTTTCAATATGTGCATTTCTGTATTTTTATTCCTCCTGTGGTGCTTTATTTCCAGAGTAAAGAGTAGGGTTACATTCTAGTTCTCTGTGTGCTGTGTTTTCATACAAAAGAACTTTCTTATGGATGGATAACTAGTAGGACTTTTATAGAAAAAAAGGCTGCAATGCAACTATCTAAAGCTGAAACATCCAATTACTTCCCATATTTTCTTTCAGGTGTTTGCTTGAATTAACATTAGGAACTAGTGTTTCGAAACATACTGAACCAGATGGGCAATGACCTGCAATTAAAAACAAAACAAAAACACCTTACTGCACTTGTTAAAAAAACACAGTTCCATATTACAGAATACTTCATTAACCTCACATGTGTTATATCTTGTGAGGAAAAAATATATAAATTATATAATTATAAAATGTGTTTGGTGCTTAGTTTCACATGGCAGGATTTATTGATATTAAAAATGAACTTATTTTTATGCCCCCAGTCTAAACACTTCCTTCATGCATGATAGTACATTGTTTGTGAGAGTACCAGACTAATCCTGTACACTTGTACCAGAAGTACGTATGACTCACTAAGTTCAGTGGGGAGACTGGTTGTAGGACTCCAACCTAAGGCAGTATTCTTAAGGGAAAGAGCATCATTGTTACAGGTGAAAACCAACAGAAGGGCAGTAAGCTCCCACTTCCCACCCCAAACCAGATTCTACAGAGTAAGCTAAGGTGTGGCATTACATTCATAATTTTCTGAAGGTAAGGTCCAACACAGGACTTTTGCCGGTAGAATAGAGGCATCCAGTGGAAGCTGGTTGGGGGTGATCTCGCTTTTCCACTGGAGTTCCCCATGCACACCAAAAACCTGGTGCAGAGCCCTGGGGAACTCTTTTGACCTGGTTTTTAGCCACTCCTGGAGAAGGAGAAGGGAGTGACATTCTGTTACACTGGTTTAGTATTATGTAGTGCAGTGAAATGTGGCAGCATTTCCAAATACGGATCATGTTCAACAACTGTGCCCCAGAAAGATTTCCAGGTGGAAAAGCAGAAGTGAAAATGGAGTGCTGACCCCTGCTTGCTGCTTTCAGCCTTCTCCCTCCAGTGCCTCCCCAAACTCAGCTTCTTTCTACCCACTTAGACTCCAAGATCACAAGTAAGCTTGGCTAGGAAAAAAAGTGTCTGTGGAGTTTGGAATATGCTTTCACCTGCTGTTTGTCATTTGGAGTCATCCTATAAGCCCCCTCTTTTTGTTAGTTGTCAGCCATGCACATTTGAAACATTGGGCCGAATCCAATTGCTTAGCACCATAAATTGCACTAGAGTAGGCCCATTGAATCAATGGAGGTTTGCTGAATCAATTTTCCACTAATTCATTGGGTCTACTCCAGTAATTTCTTTCGATTTAAATGAGTCTAAGCTAACTGTGACTTACTATGCTAAAGTCAGTAACAGGTACAGTAGGTCTGTTTGAATCAATGGAACTTAACAGAGGAATTGACTCACCCAGTCCCCATTGATCCAATGGGCTTGCTCTAGTCTGATTTAGTACACAGGTAACAGAATTTTGGCCAGTGTGTCATTTGCTATCTTTTCTGGCTGTGCCTTAAGTTGTGAATTTGTTTCTTATGCAGATAATTTAAGTTTGAAACAAATCTGTACAAGATGTATACCTACATAACGAGAAAAGCATGTTCAGACATACCTCTGAGGTGTATCTAGTATTAGTGCATTTCATGTGTATGAAATAGTCAGTGGGAGTAAATATGCTAAGAGGCACTCTTTGTCTTGTAATTTTCTTATCCAGTGCCTATATCCTCTTATAATGGCTTTGATGGTGCTGTTCCAAGAGGTTACAGAACACCACTAGGAAAACAAGTCTGCTTTGTTGCTACTGTTCGGCTGGCAACGCCTCAGTTTTTAAAGGCAAGTGTGTATGTCTTAGAGTCTGTTAAGTCTTAGCAATAATATTAGCTCTTCTAGTGAGTGTCTCCCCACTTCCAACCATGTCTGAGGCAAGGGGTAGGTGAAGTCTGTTCATAGAAAAAAACAGGGGCTTTCCAGTATACCTGGTCCTGTAACTTAGTTTTGGGGTGATATAAAGATCTGCAGCGAGGTGCACCTAGAGGCCTTGTGAGTGAATGTGGGCCATTTTCCAAGTTACTCTTTAGGGACACCTTCCCAGGTAGTCAAGCTGCAGATGATGTTAGCAGTATCTTTCTGAAACTGGCTCTTTCCATGTATACATCAGCTGGATTGTCATCCAATCAATTTGGTATTTATCCAATATATTTGTAAGTGTATGGAAGGAAACAGGAATGCTCTGTAGTTTAATGGAATAAATGGGCTGTTGCATATTGCATACTAGACCCAATGGCACCTCCTGACAAAAGCCTTTCCATCGAACGTAAGCAACTAGGGTTCAAGCAGAAAAGGTATCTTACCTTGAAATTGTGGCTGACACAATCCCCACCTCAGTTTGTGAACCATGGACAGCAACTTCTGTTGCAGTTGTGATATTTAGGAGTGCTTTCTAAAGCCTGTATCCAATTGTTAGTCCCAAACAGAGTAAACCCGTTAAACCAATAGCTGAAATCCTGTTGTTTAGTATAGTAAATCGTATTAGAGTAGGACCATTGAATCAATGGGGATTTAATGAGTCAGCTCTGCTGTAAGTTCCATTGATTCAAATAGGCCTAGTCTAGTTGTAACTTACTTTGACATAGTAAGTTGCAACTAAAGTAGATTCTTTTAATTCAATTAAATGTATAAGAGTTGATTCATCAAATCCCCACTGATTCAGTGAGTGTACTCTAGTTGTGACTTACTGCTGGATTTCAGTCATAGTGCAGTTGCATCCAGCTCTGAGCAGGAAGCTTGACTAGATTATCTCCATAGATTTGCTACACTAAGCAACAAGATTTCAGCCCTTGGATCTTTCATAAAGGTTGACTTAACAAGTTCCAGCTGATTCCGTGGAATTACTTGAGATTAACAATTAGATTTAGGCCAATGAAATTATAATTGCTGTGATTAGCTTCTATCTTTCTGCCCTTACCTGACAGATCTAGAAACTTCCAACATAACTTATGTCAATCTCTGTGTTAGGTAAATTCTTTTAATTTCAGCTGAATGTATGGAGTTTGCTTAATAGTAAGAGTTGATTTGCTAGGTATTGCTCTAGCATGTGTAACATGTCCAATAGTTCCGTGTGACTGTTAAAACATAAACTGTATCCCTTATTACCAACAGCTGTATAATTTTATGTAAGTAATAAGTATTATGTAAAGAATACAAACAATGTTTAATCTTTTACGGTGACTATAAACTGTTATTTCATCTTCCAAAATAATACACTGCACATCAGTTGAAACTAATAAATCAAATGGAATTGATATGCAGGTAAAATGGAGGTAACGGTACTGCTTGAACTAAAAGAATTTAATTCTAATACAGGAAATGTGCATAGTGGAAGAACCTTTAGAGGAATTTACTTCAAGACACAGTCTGGAATGGAAATTTTTGTTTCTGGATCACAGGTTGGTGAAGAGAATAATATGCTCAGTGGTTTGTCTGACTGTTTGCTGCTGTTATGAAACAAGTTTTGGCAAACTGATTCGGTGGTGGTCATTATTGTTGCTCTTCTCAAATCCAAGATGTATTTGTCAACATTCATTTTCATAAATATTAAGCATATACAAATTCTGTAAGCTACCTAGACACATTATTTTGGATACAAGTGCTTCTTCCACTGTCACTGCAGAAGTTTGGAAGTGTTTGGTTCATTCTTTGAACTGTAGTTTGCCATGCGTCTCTGATATGTACTGTGGCTGAGGAATCAGATAATCTCCAAATCATAATTTGAAAAGCTTTCAACTAGCCATAGCTAAGACTTACAAAGGGAAAGAACAGCCCAAGCTTTTGTACTGCCTGAAGTGAGAAGTGAAGTACCACCACCACACAACATATGGGAGGTCACTGTGCCTACACATTGCTCACGCTTGTGGCAACAGAAGTGCCAACAACCCTGCTGTACCAGATTGGAAAGGGAGGTGTCTAACCCCTCCCCAAAAAAGGATAAGGGGCAGTGGCTGAGTTGCCATAGGATAAAGGGCAGGGAAGGAGAAGAGACAGCATGACTATAGTAGTTTATGTGCTGGTTCTACTGTGGAGCTGCCTTTGAAGATAACATGGATGCTGCAGTAAGTGCTAGAAGCAATACTTTTCTGAGGCCATATGGCTCTGAAGATTTACAGTGACTGCTAATATGCTACACGAGTTCAAAGTGTAGCATATTAACCTATAAAACACTAAATGACTTGGTACTTGGATATTTGAGGGAGTAGCCGACTCTTCCTATGCATAACTGCTTTAACCTAGTGCACATTGAGTGCCATTTTAAAGTGAAGTAAGGTTTCAGTCAAGCAGGAGAAGCCTTCCTTTTCTGCAGGGCTTGCTCGTCTGGTGAGTGGCTGGATGGCAGCAGAACCTGAAATTATGATAGGCTGGCACCAGCTCCCAAGGAGATCAAAATTAGCAATTCTGAGGAGACACTTCCTTTGTTCCCCTAACTTCCTAACTCACATCTAAAACTAGTTGATGATTATTTTGATATTAAAAAAATAAGGTCTGAATTCTAGGCTCTTCTTCAAAGTCCTCCTGACCTCAGGTTGTCTTTGAAGTGACCCCAACCAGCAGATAGGGAAGAGGCTGTCTCCAGGGGTTGAAAGCTATTCCCATGCCCCCAGAGGCACACAGAAAAGTCCAGAGGATGAAATTCATTTTTCTGGTTCCCCTAAACCCTTACATGTTTATTCTTGTAAGCATGTACCTACGTCTACTGAAGGAGGTGGAGGGAAATAGTTATGGGGATGGTTGGTGGTTCAAAATAGAGAAATAGCAAGGGGGGGGAATTGGTTAGTACTTTTGCTAAATTGACTCTTTGCTCTAAATTACTAGTTCTGTAAAAATAAAAATAAAAATAAAGAAAAGCTCACAGCTGTTTTATATCTGCTGACGTGTCAGCCCCTGAAGCAAGTGAAGCACCACTACAGCTCTAACAGGGAAGCTGTTCCTGTTCTTTCACAGGAACAATCTGTACACCATCTTAATGACATAATGGATGTGTCTGCTCAGGGCATGAGACCTCCCAGTGGAATCAACTGCCCAAGACGGACCCCTTGCAGCTTGTTCCTGTGAAGCCCTGAGGATTCTTTTAATCTTGCTTGCATCTTTTCTCTTTGCAAAAAAGGGATACCAGGGTTCTTCATAGAATACCTTATTACAGGAAGGGAACATGGGTAAATGGAAAGGAGCTGCCCAGTACCGTGCCTGGCAGCAACTCCCAGGGGCTTCAGACAAATGTCTTTTCCCCAGCCCTGTAATATAAGGATGCCAGGGCTTGAACCCATGCAAACCACGTGTTGTGCTGGGCTAGGTACAGGTAAAGGTTCCCCTTGACAATTTTTGTCCAGTCGTGTTCGACTCTAGGGGGCGGTGCTCATCCCCGTTTCCAAGCCATAGAGCCAGCGTTTTGTCCGAAGACAATCTTCTGTGGTCACATGGCCAGTGCGACTTAGACATGGAATGCTGTTACCTTCCCACCGAGGTGGTGCCTATTAATCTACTCGCTTTTGCATGCTTTTGAACCGCTAGGTTGGCGGGAGCTGGGACAAGCAATGGGCGCTCACTCCGTCGCGTGGATTCGATCTTACGACTGCTTGGTCTTCTGACCTTGCAGCACAGGCTTCTGCAGTTTAGCCCACAGCGCCACCACGTCCCTACTGTGCTGGGCTACATGACCAAATACCTGAAAAATTAGCTAACGTCATTCAGATTACAGTACGCAATACAGAGAGAAATTACGAAGCCAAACTGGGTGGTACTAGACGCACTTGCAAGGGCTAAAGTAAATGGCAGTAGCAGAGCCAGGTGTATGAACATGAATCTATACCAGTGTATTGGTTTGGTTTGTCAGAAAAGAAACATCTGATACTCTTTCCACTTACTGTCATTTACAGGGTGCAACTACATAGCAGAAAAAATGCAAAGCAATCCACTGTGAACGCATGCTTAGGAAGTTGGGTTTCCCTGGGTGAATTTACTTTAACAGATCACACAGCAGGGAAAGCAGAGGAAATTGCCAATTTGCTTTTGTTAGAACTTTCTTAATTTGGTTCTATTGAAATTGTCCAGATTTGCAGGTGGCAGGGTGACAGTAGAGCTAACTTAACAAGCTGCAAACAAGGGCACCAATGCTGGCATCAAGCTTTTACAAATAAATAAATAAATAAATAAATTTGGAGACAAATAGGTGCTTGGTTGGGGGAACTGTCACATCCAGAAGTGCCCCTTTACTTCCTCTTCCCCCCCCCCACACCTAAAACTAGGAAGTTGGGAGAGCCAGCTACTGGTTGCAAATTGCATTGATTCAAGTAGTCATGTCATCTGAACTGATGCAAATGCATTCAATTCTTAAAAAAAAAGAAGCCCCAGTGGCAGAGGGGGAAAGTATGGATTGGAGAGGAGACGGGCGTCTGGATTGATTCTGTTGACTTGTACATCATATAGTTAGTGGAAAGTAATGCAAACCAGACGATCCCAATCCCAGAGCATTTTCCACATTATTTATTAATATAGTCACATCCTAAGAGTTGTCTTGCTGTGGCATGACCACCTGAAAACGTCCTTCCTCTCACCCGCACCAGGCCACTATAGCAGTGCTCTGTGCAACTATATGCTGTTGCTCTACCACATTGCCTTTCATCTTAAGTCTTGTAGCTCAGTTAACGGGAAGGGGGGACAACAAAAACTCCTCTAAAACAGATTGTTTACTTCTTCTGTGAAGCATATTTCACGGCCTGCCCATTCTTCTCACAGCTACTAACAAAATCATCAGCCCTGTCACTCTGTAAAGTTAACTGCTTTATTTTTCACCTTTTGTTCTTTCCTTCTGGTTTCTCTCATTTCTTTTAAGATGTGCGAACACGAACACACACACACACACACAGAAACAGGTAAGCTATACTGGGAAGGTGCACAAGAGGCTTTCTTTCTGCTCACTCTTAGTTTTTTGATTGTTAAAGAGTCAAATTTCAAGCCTGTTGAAAGGGGATGGGGGAGCAACTGAAGTCTCATACACTGCTGGTGTTATTTTTAATTGCCTAATAAGATTATTGGTATTTTATCTTGATACAGAGCACCACCAATCATAGGATATTTGCCTTTTGAAGTGCTGGGTACTTCTGGATATGATTACTATCACATAGATGACCTACAGCTCTTGGCACGGTGCCATGAACATTGTAAGTATTGGAGAGATGTTGGCAAGTCTTTGGGTCCAAGTTTTTGGGTCTGAGTCCCAAGCCTTGAGTCCAAAACCTGAGTCATTTGCCCATCCCACTGGGGCAAATGACTTGAGACTTGGACTCAACACTCTGATCTAAAGACTCATACTAACCATGCACCCCCCAGCTGATAGGCTGGTGCATACACAGAGACAGTGTGCATGGAAGGAATGTTGGGTGGGCACATGCACATGTGCAGAGATAGTAGGTCAATGTCCCATCTCAGAGCAGGCTCCTGCCTGTGCGCATGCACCAGCCTGTCAGCTGGGTGGTGGGTGCATGGGCAGAGGCAGCAGCTGGCCCCTGGAAGGGAAATCTGGCCTGCGGTTTCTGAGGATAGTGGCAATGATGGTGACAGGAGCAGGAGCAGGTAGGGAGGCCCATGCCTAATAGAGACTTGACAACACAGCACAGAAAAATGGGTCCAAGTTGTGAGTTGAGTCTCAGTCTTCCCCAAAAATGCCCAGTGCGACAAGTCAGACTCAACAGCGAGTCGCAACTTGCAAGTCCCCATCCCTGGAGTATTGTATTCTTCATTACAATGGAGATTTGGTGGAATGTTTGTTTCTCTGAGTAATAGCAAAAATAGGAGGAAAAATTCTGCTGTGAAATAATAATAATAATTTATTGTCATTGTAAGTATATACAAGAGGAAAAATTCTGCTGTGAAATGGTAATATTAGTAAATCTGTCAGTGAATCCGAACCATCTTTAATGAAGATTTACATAATTTATGGTATTATTAGTAAATCTGTCAGTGAATCTGAACCATCTTTAATGAAGATTTACATAATTTTTGTCACCCAAATGTCTATATTATTGAATTTTTAAAATGCTATTCCAAAGTAGTTAATTGAAGCTATCTACTTTTGTCATTCAGGCTAATTGCAGCTACATTCTGATTTATTGCCTAGCTGTTAAATGGATATGAAGTCTCAGAGACAAAGCTTTCAAAGTCATGTAAACATTTCATAGTATTTGAGTTTTGCATAATGTAAAGTTGAAGCATGGAATTAATATAAACTCAAACCACATTGTTCAGTCGTTTAGTCATGTCCGACTCCCGGAATTAATATAAACTCAAACCACATTGCTTGACCATTAATAATGGTTGTGTTCTTCAGAAGGATGGTGTTGATTAAAATGTATTTTGACCTTTCAAGAATACAAGAAAAGCCTGATCTGTGAGGCCATGACTGAGTGATGGAACCTGGGATAAAACAAGCCCATATATCCTTAACACATTTCATCACCTGTGTGGTGCTGATGCTGTCAATGCAATTTCAAAGGTTTTAGATCTTTTGGAGCAGATAATTCCCCTTTGTTATTCGGTATATTTGTTTCATTTGCTTCTGTAATACTAAGGAAATTAAAGGCACACTTCTGTACTAGGAATTAAATAAACATTGGCCTTCAGATGTCCTGCCAAGTATTTGCAGCAACCAGTGTTCCTCTCATTTTATTGCCCTACTCCAGATGAGGAACTCATGCTGGTGATGGAGGTGCACAAGTAAACATTATGATGGTCAACTGCTTCCTGGTGTGCTTGATGAATATGCCTAATATCTTCTGTGATATGAAGCCATTAGTCACATGCAAACAAACCACAGCTATGGCTTGAGATCCTTGTATGTTTATACCGCTGAATGGAATGTACACTTCTCCACATTCAGAAAGGGAAGTCTTGTTCCCTTAGAGAAATTTAGAGGTCATTAGGAAACCTACAAGAATAATGTTTAAAGATGTTTGTCATCTGAAAAAAAAAACACTTGCATTTTTCTTCCCACAAATAGTGATGCAGTTTGGCAAAGGGAAGTCTTGCTGCTATCGGTTTCTGACCAAAGGACAGCAGTGGATCTGGCTGCAAACACATTACTATATCACCTACCACCAGTGGAACTCCAAGCCTGAATTCATCGTATGTACCCACACAGTAGTGAGGTATGAGGAAATTAAATAACATTGTTGATCTGCCAACCATTGGGGTCTGCAGTGCAAAACATGAATAAACAGTGATGCGTCGCAAGACGAATGCCTTGCACAACGAAAAACTCGCAAGACGAAAGTGTTTTGCGATTTTTTTTGTGACTCGCAAGACACATTTTTCTATGGCCATGCTTTGCAAGATGAATAGGAACACATTAATTAGATTTCAATGCATTCCTATGGGAAACCGCGCTTCGCAAGATGAAATTTACACAATATGAAATGACTAACGGAATGAATTATTTTCATCTTGCGAGACATCACTGTACAGAACTACAGCCATAGTTTCCTGTTTGGTTAGGTGGCTCCTTTTATATTACAACCGTCTTCTAGCAAATATTGGATTAAGCCACTCACTGTTTATTTTAATTAAATCCATCATTCTACTACAAACTAGGAAGTAGATTGCACCGGACTGCTCCACAAGTGGTCCAACATGCAGTATATTTCCTCATGTGATCACACCCTCTGTAATGTCTTTGCATGTGTGAAAGTGTTTGTTTGTTTGTTTATTGATTTTATGTAATTGTCATTCCAGAGTGCCCATGGAGACAGCAGTGTTCTCCAACTAGTTTTCAAATGTTACTATGACTTTATTTCTGTTTATTCTTTGACATAGAGACTGGCCTCTGTCCTGTATGAAATGTTGTGAGACATTACTGGCAAGATATGATATACTTAGGATACACCCCAAATTTCTCTCCTTTGTTCAAGAATGGTGCATCCATGTGCCAGTATTTTAAGTGATGAGAAGTTGATTTGTGGTCTCATTTTCTTCACTTTGGTAGGATATAACCTGAGCTATAACTTTACATTAACCCAAACATTGGCTCCCCCCTTCTTTTGGAAATACAACAGTGGAAATACACAAGTGTATAAATTCCTGATCATCTTATAATTTTTCCTTTCCCATTCTTCCCAGCCCTCTGATTCCAACTACACATAGCTCTAAGCCAAACTCGTCTCTGGTACCTTGTTTAGATAAGGACTTCTCCCCAACTGTACCTCTAGATTTATTTATGCTTCGGTGTGCCTGTCACCACCCACTGACTGTCCAGTGACCCTTAACAACCCCTGTTAAGACGATCACCATGCTCGTACTGTGGTGATTCCAGCCAGTCTGCCTAGCTAGAATGATTGGCAGATGGGTGTAGAATATTGAGAGCAGGGCTGGATACTGATTGGTTGTTGTGTCTGAAATGTGATGAGAAGTGGCAGTTAGGCAGAGGGAGTTAGTGAGAGATTCCGTCCTGAGGTAATAAGGAAAAGGCAGTCTTAGAGAGAGTGTGTTGTGTAGAGTCTGTGGAATTAGTTGATCTGGAGCTTTTGGATATAGGAGAGTGGTTTATAGGAAATTGTGTTTTAAACTATAGAGGAATATATACAGTACTCTAGATCTCATAAATCACCCTTCCCTTCCTTTTACATCTGTGAAGATTGTCATCCAGATGAGGCTATCTGGAAGTTGAGTCATGGCAACTGGGCTTCTTTCTTATTGCGTTGAAACGTTTTGCTACTCATCCAAGTAGTTTCTTCAGTCTGAGGAGAACCGGTAGGAGATCCGTGATATATCCTCCACTAACAAGCCTATTCAGACCAGGGGAAAGTGAAACCAGTGCGGAAGATATATCAAGGATCTCCTACCAACTCTTCTCAGACTGAAGAAGCTACTCAGATGAGTAGCAAAACGTTTCGAACCAACAAGAAAGAAGTCCAGTTGTCATGACTCAACGTCCAGATTTCCTTCCTTTTGTTTACCTGTATTTCTCAAATAAATCCCTTTTTATTTGCTCCTGAGTAAAGCTCTCCTTGTTATTTATTTTTAAGTGTAGCTAAGTAAAGATATTTAGCAGCACAGAAATAGTGACAGTTGCACCCAAATCAAGCAGGCTATGCAGTACCAGAAGAAAAAGGCAGTGTTTTCACTAAAAGGGTTTCACCCAACAACCAAATCAAATATAAATACCAGCTGGAGCAAAGAGGCTGTGGCTGGGAGACACAATAAAAAGGGCAACTGCAAATGCTTTGGAAAGATTTGGGGGTACTTGTTCATGGACTAACACATAACCTAACAACAGTAAGAAAGAGGTGGCTAAGTTTAGGTGGAGGTGCCTAGGACTACTTGGAAAGTGTGTAACACACTAGTGTGACAGCAATGAGGAGATGTGGGAGGTACCTGTTGCTATTCTGTTAAATTTCAGACATACACAACTCCCATGTGTACTAGTGTCTGTACACTGAAACTATACTCCATGCATTTACAGTTCACAAAAGATTAGGCCAGATAAATCATATTTGTCTTTCAAATGCCACCAGCTTCTTTGTTGCTTTTACTTCAATAAACTAAATTTCCTCTCCGGATTTTTTTAAAAGCAAAAATAGTTAATTTAATTTGAAAGTGATGTATATATAAACTATGATTTTGCACACATTGGCTATAATAGGAAATATCTATTTGGTTGGTATACAGACTGATTACATTGACTGCATTGATTATCCAGAAGTGTACATTTGTCTTGATTTTAAAAGATACATTCTAAAAATCATAGGACTAAATGTAATATTAGTCCCAACTAGAGAAGACCCAATTTAATGAATTGGACTTGTTAGTCACAAGTAGAGACGGGTACAAATTCCTGAACCAGCAGTTCTTGCCAGTCCATTTTTCAGCCGAAGGTATTTGGCGGTACCTGGAGGAGGTAGAGTAGGGAAGCTGGGGTGATGCCTCTGATTGGGCACTTGCCAGAGTTGGTGGGGCTGGGAACCGCTAGAACACCTGTTTGGCTGAGAAATTGACTGGCATGAATTGTTTTTTCAGCAATTCATGCCCATCTCTAGTCACAAGCCATGTGCATTCCATTTATTTCAAATTCCATTGTTGCTTTAGTTGGGATTTACAGTTGGATTTAGCTCATATACAGTGGTGCCTCGCTTAACGAGCGCACCGTACAACAACGAAATCGCATAGCGATCCCTTTTTTGGGATCACTAATGCGATCGCTCAATGTTTTTTGATAGGGCAAAATCAGCCCGACGACCAGCTGTTCAGCGGCCAAAATGGCTGCCGGAAGCCCGGAAATGGCCCAAAATGGCCGCGCGCAGCGTTTTCGCACCCTCGTTAAGTGAGGGGAGGGCGCGAAAATGGCTGCCAGCCATTAAGAAGCATCGCTGAACGGTGAGTATTCGGCCCATTTGGAACGCATTAAACCATGTTTAATGCGTTCCAGTGGAATTCCCTGCCCAAAATCAGTATTTTATTACAAATATGGATCAGAATTCTATTAGTGTTAATGTAAGGTTTGCATAACTTGCTGCAGCCAATTGTAGCTAATTGACAAGGTGAAGAGGCACTTCTTGTTCACTTACTTCATCACATGCTTGATTATGCAACCTAAATCTACCACAACAACTCATCAGTAAGCCATAATTAGCGACAATACATTACACAAACTTGTGTGAACACCAGTAAAACTCCAGCTATTAAATCTGTACTAGAATGCTAACTGGACTCTAAAGGAAAGTACTGAGGTTAAAATCCTGTCCAGCTGAGAGGCAGAATATAATGTGCAACATTATATTCTGTTTTTATTATGTGCACTTGGGATGTGGACATACAGACAACAAAGGGTCTGTAGCATGTGCACCCATGGCATAGGACTGCAAGCACACATTTTGTATGCTGCAATCTTTTATAAGTACATATAGTTTCAGCCATTTCTGTGAAATTTAGCTATAATCGTATATGTATTTATTTGAAATAAAATGTCTTTTTCTTTTGCTAACACAACGATAATGAATAGAAGCTAACAATAAAGTACAATCAATTGCATTACTATACACTTTAAAATTACTTGGTTTGTTGATTTTAGTTGCACAGCAATTTGAGGGGTAGATAAACCGAGTTACACAGAACCATGAAAATACAGAATTGTAAAACTAGAAGGTACCCCAAGAGGCATTAAGTCCATCCCCTTATCAAAGCTGGAAATCCACAGCTAATCCACAGCAGGAAGTCGTCATCTTATAATAGCACTTTCAGAATAGTAGAATGGTGGTGTTCTCCATGGAAAATGGTAATGTTTAATCAGTTATGCAGATGTTCGAGTGGAAAGGCAACAGAATTTGATACTGGAAGACACACCTTCAGAGATCATCTCTTCCGTGCTAAAGGTAGGCTAGTTCTGTTTTAATTGGCTCATACATTAGGAACCACAAAGTATACACATAATGATTTTTGTATCATATGGTTTAATGAGAAATTAGTGTTTACATGGCATATCCCATTTCTTACGATGTGGTTAGAGAGACATTACTATTATGCTTTTCAGAACAGATTTTAAGAAATGATGGATATAGTGGAACTGTGGCTTGTGAAGGAAAGAACAGGCATTGAGCAAAATCCTGTTGTGTGATTATGACTACAATAGCACTGAGGTGGAAGTACTATCCATGAAGCACTTCCACTGGTGCATTGTGCAACTGGCCACACTGAGGACATGTGATGAATTGCACAACTGAACAGTGCAATTCTTTGTTGCCAGGTGTAATGCCCAGCACATTTACATGGGTATAAGTTTTCAAACAGGATTTTCCTACTGTGTTCTATGAGATAGTAAATTTTGTAATTCCTCCAAAGCAAGGTTAATTTTTAGTTGTTGCCTTTGAAAATTAAAAGTGATTTTCATTTCAAATCAGAACTGTCTTTCCAATCACTTCCAATTTCATGTGGAGGGGATTGATTCAATTCCCGAGAGTCCTGGAGCCAGAAAATTGATTACTAGATGTTATGTATGCTGGAAGCCGCCTAGAGTGGTCATCTGACCAGATAGGCGGGGTATAGATAGACAGATAGACAGATAGACGATAGATAGATCAATAAATAAATTCACAGAGCTTGCTCGTTCCTGCTATAAAATAAAGGGAGAAGAGGTAGCTAGCAGTGGTTTCTTCAGCTACAGTCCTAAAAACTCTTCAAAACAGAGTTAATATATCCAGTTACTGTCCCATGTACATGGTTGCATATCTGGATTATATGCAATTTCTTCCCCTCTCAGTCTGTTAATATTCTCTTCTAAAAGTTGCTACAACTAGAAAAATGCACAATCCTTACAAGTGAGTTTTGAAGAGCCAGTTAAGTTAGGCAACAGAAAAGCAAACTCTGCCTGCATTCTTGGTTGTCCCACAGTATTTATTGGTTGAAAAAAAAAGTGGAAATAAAATGTACATTTTATACCCAAGCATGTGGGAAGAAGCAGGCTGTGAAACACAGACACCCCATAAGCCAGGCATTAAGAATTACTCGTTTTGAAGTTCTTGTGGTGTTGGCCTGAGCTTATTCCTTGGTGCATGGCTTCCTGCCTATTAAAACAGATTATGTGTTAGCTGTATCTAAGTAATGAGTTCTTCTGATCTATATTCACAGTGCTTAGTGAAGTTAATAAGTAAGACTTTTAAGAGTGGTTTTACAGAAATCTGTTTGATGCTTCTGTTGCTCAGAAGTACAGATATAAGGGGCCAAAACCAGCTATAATGTTTTAGCATTTAAAAAAAAAACACCCAAGGTTTTAAAAATGTCAATTTCATCAGCTGGTGGGGGGGGGCTGGAGTCAGAGCAAGTATAGAGAGGGACTGTAACTCTTTTTCCATCCACTGAATTCCTGGGGTACCAATGAATGCAAACTGTACCTTCAGAGAAGGGATTTCCCTCAGGATCTCAGCAGGACAGAAGGGGTTTAAATTCTCCTTCCACTCTTGTTGTAATCTCTGGTTATTATCCCAGCCAAAAAGATGGAAGTTAAATATACTGATGTATTGAATCATAGGCAAGTTTAGGTTTGATATGGTCAAAAATATATCTAAAATAATAGAATTTTGTTAACTCTGTTTTTAAGGACAGTGGCTCGGATTTGGATTCCCAACAGCACTTTAACACACTTGAATTAGGTGTGCCGATTCTCAACACAGGTCGCACACTTTCTGTGTCTTCTCAAGGCTCACACAAATCTCTGCCTACATCCTTATCCAGCACAGCAAGTAAGTTGCTATTTGTATTAATACTAGTGTCCTTGGGCATGCCTCTAGCTTAGTGTCCTCTAGCTTAGACAACCAGTAGCTTCCTAATTTATTCTACTAGACACAAAGCAGGGATGGACAATTCTTGAAAAGATACTGAATATTTAAAAAGGTAGTGTGTGCACAACTGTAATCCTTGTGCTTAGTGAATGGAAAGCCTCACAGATTACAGGGGAATAATGATGCCTTATGTCTTTTTCTGCAAGACTTTAGAGAGCTGTGTTCTTCAGGTCTTTTAGTAGCCATGGCTTGAAGAAGGCCAGTTCAAGAAACAAAACCAATACATGGGCTTTGGGGATCTTAAAAACTAGCAAATTTTATTTGGCATATGTTTTTGTGGTCTGCTGCCAACTTCACCCACTTAATGGATCTGGGTATCTGATGAAATAGGTACATAAAGCTTATGCCAAATAAAGCTTTGCTTGTTTTTAAGGTATCACGAGAGTCTTAGCTGGTTTTCTTAAGATTGACTAACAATGGCTGTTTCCCTGACATTATTTAAAGAAGATGCCTGTACAGTTGAGGGAAGCAGTACAAGTACTCAGAACTCTACTGTTCTGTATGTGTTTCTGTCATACAACCAAGACGAAGCTGGTGTTCAGTTTTACAAGTGGAAATGCAAAGCAATCCAAACTGATACCCTGAAAGCAGCAAACTAAACTGTGCTTGTACGTGCAGTTCTCTACACGGCCATGTCCTTCTTTTGATCCCAGCACATCTCAGAAGTAACAGGAGGACATTTACGCATGAGTAACTCTTGATTTCAGTTCAGCACTAAAGTAAATAGTGTGACCTTAGAGAATCCTCTTGTGATGGGTTCAGTAATAATGCATTTGCACTGTAACAAATTCAAAGAACTGCAGGCGGGATTACGCATACGTGCAGTGGGGAGAAAGCCCATATTGTGAGGGGCTTTCCCCCTCCATCTAATTTTGTTTTTAGTTATTTGTGGTATATTTGTTCTGTTGCAGGCTTCCTTCATAGATATTGTTGTGATTTGGTCCTTCTATATATTGTTACTACATGTTGTCAAGTTGCCTCCAACTTATAGCAGCCCTATGAATGCGCTATCACCAAAATGTCCTGTCCTCAAGTCCTATTCAGCTCTTTTTAGCCTGTGGGTTCCTTTAGAAAGTTAATACATCTCATATCTGGTCTTCCTCTTTTCCTGCTGACTCCAACCTTTCCCAGGATTAATGTTTTTCCCAAATAATCTTACCTTCTCATTATGTGCCTAAAGTATGACAGCCTCCATTTCATCTTTTGCCTCCAGAGATAGTTCAGGCTTGATTTGGTCTCGAACCTACTTATTCATCTTTCTGGCAGTCCAAGGTATCCACAAAGTTCTCCTCCAGCACCATAATTCAAACAAATCAAATTTTCCCCTCAGCTTTTTCATCACCCAACTTTCACATACATACATAAATGGAAATGCAATGGTGTGGATGATTTTGGTGTCTCTATTGACACATCCTCACACTTGATTTCTTCTGATTTCTTCATTGCTGCCCTTCTGAGTTGCAGTCTTCTGAGAGTCTCATCTTCCAGCATTATCTATGGCTTAATTTTAGACTGTCTCATGGGGTTTTCATGGCAAGAAAAGTTCAGCCGTAGTTTACCATTGCCTTCTTCTGCGCTGTACTAACAAAAGTTAGCTTGACTATCACTGCTGTTGTTTGTGAAATATCATCACTTTGAGCTGCTGCTACTGCCCAATAAATGCCCTTCAGAAGCTTCTCAGCCTCCATCACCATTGGAACTATCCATTTTCTTCTGCTGAAGAGGGTGGATGCATCTTAGTCTGGTGCCCCAGCTGTGAACATTTCACCTTGGTGACCCTGCTAGGAGTCCCAGGCTCATAATGGGGTCTTGCCTCCTGGTGGCATTGATCCCGGCTTCTCTGACACACCCAGACCCTCTCACCACATTAAGGTGTGCGTCCAAGAAGGGTGGATGCCCATGAAGGGTCTTCATAGAGCAATATTCATAGATATTGCTGTGATTCAGTCTTTCCATATATAGTAACAGCTGTAATAAATCTGCTTTAAATGGCAATGATTTACTAAACCGATTGTACTCAATCCTTGACAGCCACAACAACAAAGCCTTTCCCAGAGTCTCCCTCCTTGCAAAGAACCTCCCCTGTAGTAGAGCAAGACTTAACAATGCAGAGATCCAGCCAGCCTGCCACTGCTCAGGTAAGGATACAAAGTTCATCAGCCAAGTGGGCAGAAGCATTCATAGAAATTCCATAAGACTAATGTGTACCAAAGAAAGAGAAGGCTTTAGTTTAGCCCTCAGTGAGATGAAAAACATTGTTAATTAAGATCAGCCATTTCAACAAGGGCCATATAAGTCTTCCTGTGAAGGGGAGGGGGTGGCACATTTGAAGAGGGCCACAGACTGGAAACAATTCTTCACATGCCACTTTATAATATTCATTATGCAACATGTACAATCCTAATTCGGCCTATATTTCATATTGCATTTATGGCTGTGGTAAAAAAAGGAAGAAGAAGTTGAGAGTGGCTGTTTAAGATAATCAGTTATTGGAGTCTTTTTTTTAAGGGTGCTGCTGCTCATATTATTATGATTGGTAAATATTGGCGAAAGAATTTTCTCTGCAGGGGACATTAGTCTGTAGAATGCCCTGGCCAGGGAAATCTGCCTGGCATCCTCCTTATCCTTATATACTTTTAGAACCCAAGCTAAGACCTTTCAGCAGGCATGCCATTTAAACTTTGATTTGTTGCTTTTATTATTGTTTCTATGGCTACCTTTCTAAAGCATTAATTTTTTTATACTGAAACTAGCTATCTTAATGTTTTGGCTGCTACATTATGTAATAACTTGGTTTCATGATTGTAAATCACCCCAAAGTAACTCCCCATCTGGATGATACATGCATTTAATTAATAAATAAACACATTTTTAAAAACCCCTGAAAGCATAGGAACATTTTATTTACATAAACCTCAGAAGGAAATGACATTCCTGAAATATGCTAAAATTTGTTCCAGCTAGTCAATGTCTTTCTTGTAAGAGCTGGAAACCCCTTTTAAAATTTATATTCCCAGAATCCCCAAGCCAGCACTAGTTTTGCTGGTGATACAGGAGAAGGGTGGTTTGCACTGTGATCCCTGACCACACCGCCACCTATGCTGCCATAAAATTAAGGGGAAATAAACTGGATGGTGGATAAAGGGTTCATTGGTGGCAGAAGCGATCAAACTCTTTTGCACTCTTGATCTATTATGAAGTCAAAGTGCAAAACAGAGATTTAAAGAAAACATGTATATTCTAGCTATTCATTAGTTCACAGGGGGATAGCTTGAGGTGAATTCCAAATCAAGCCAAGAAATTCTAACCCAATCTGAGGATCATTTGAGTGTAGTGATAACACTGTTCTTTTATGATGAAGAATGGCTGTTGTAGTTGAGAAGATAGAATGCATATTTGGTTTAAGCATTCTAATGACTAATAATGTAACAAAAACAATAATATCCTAGAGGGGGAAAATGTTACATTTTAAGAACCAAAACTCCGGTGAAGATGTCTCCCTTTTGTAGTGAACAGAAAAGGTTCCATAGTGCCCCAAGGGGAAAGCATGTGTACTAAAGCATGCCAATTCCTGTTATTTTGCATACAAGTAATCTAGGACAGCTTATACAATAGTTACTATACTTAGCAGTAAAGGAACATAGCTCTTTATTTTATTTTTTATTTTATTTTATTTTTTTGTTCAAGCTCTCAGATCATTTTAGCATGTTCCAAACGATCAAGGACCAACTGGAGCAGCGGACTCGCCTACTGCAAGCCAATATTCAGTGGCAGCAGGAGGAGCTGCAGAAAATCCAACAACAACTCTGTCTGGTGCAGGATTCCAACATACAGGTTAGAAGAAGAATACTCCAAAGTATATATTTTTTTCACACAAATTACTTTGATCCAGCTGCCATACTCTTGTAGAGCAAATTACATCTGTATAATGGTGACATTACCAGCAGGGGGATATTGCTGGGAATTAAAGAGTTTTACCTTTAATTTTGGGGTTCACATAACTCACCTATAATGTTGGGATCTGCAAGATGAGGGGAAGTAGGGGTCTTGCAGATGAAGCTTGTCTCGGGATCTGCAGATGAAGCCTCCCTCCCCTCTTGACCAGCAAGGAGAAAGGAGACAAGCGCTCAGGTGTATGTTTCAGGGCGGGATCCGGATGAACTAAACAGCGTGCTCTCTAGCATGCTGTTCAGTGAGAGCTCTCTCCCTGGTTTCCTCACCCCCGTTTATTATCGGGATCTGCCTTTGAACAAGTTAATCAGAAACTATTCTCAACAGAGGCAGTTAATATCCTGAATACACAGGCATGGTAAACAGAGGTAAACAGAGACAGATAAATCCTAAATACACAATCAGGGTAAACATTCCTGAATACAGAGCAGGGTAAACATAGACAGATAACATTTTTAAATACACATGAAGTTAATGCAAATTACCCAGAGACAGGAAATTATCTTAGATACCAAAGCAGGTTAATGATCATCCTTACTGGAAACTGACCTCTGCCCAAAACAATGTCTGCTATATACATTGTAAACGCATACAATTTCCCAACACTATAACTCATCTGCAATCAACCTCAGTGCAGGCAAGTCAGGAAAGCCTCAGAACTGAACCAGAAACCCTTTAACTGCCACTAGTCTGCTGTTCCAGACTGGTAGCACAGTCTGGCAGAGAGACAGCTAGCAATTAAAAAGTTCTTCCTTTCATCCTAGGGCTCACCTGACTCATGCACAACGAGACTGATTGCAGGTGAGTCATGAGAGCCCCCAAAAATCAAAGGATTACCAGCAGTCTATCTCTGCCAATGATATTATTAAGCACAATTTATGGTGCAGAATAATAATAATAAATGTTTATTGCGGTCATTGACCAGCAAAAGTAAGATACATAAGAACAATATAAAAGCATTAAAAACACTAAAAACACAAAAGCACTAAAAGCATCTATATACATATATACATCTTACTAGATATCTCTTACCTCCCTATCATAGGCCTTATCTATGGGCTATTACAGCTTGCATAGAATGCCAAATTTGTTATTTTAAAGCTCATATAGCCTGTGTGATCATTAATTGGTGTACACCAATTTACAGATTCTATAACTGCACTTTAGGTGGAACCTTT